AGCACATGTGGAAAATTTGCCAAGTAATGACAACTACCATGTTTTTTCTCCACCAACCCAATCTGTTTTTCCTCCCCAAACCAATCTGTTTTTCTCCCCATTAATTTATTTTTCTAATATAATTTTTATAATAATAGTAGTTTTAGTCAATATATTTAATTAGTTAGAATATTTTAAGAGAAAAAGTACCTATTTATTATAAATAACTAATTTAATTAGTATCATTACAAATAACTAATTTAATTAGTTTTTTAATCTACGCAAAGTATTATAAAATATGTATTAATAATTGTGAAGCTTGACCCATGGATGGGAATATATTTTTGCCTTGTTGATGGAGATCTAGACATTGTGGGACCAAAACTAGAAAGACTTCAGTTGACTCGTAACTCTAAAATATAATAACCATAAGGCTTATGTTCAAATAAATTAAATTTTCCCCATTCATTTTTTCTTCACAGCAAAAGTCAAAGTCTTCCATCTAAAACTAAAGGGATCAAAGCTCCTGTGGAAAATTTGCCGAATAATGACACCTATCTTGTTTTCCCCCAACAAACCAATTTGTTTTTCCCCCAATAATTTATTTTAATTGTTATAGACAAGTATTTAAAACTTTAACATATCATTGTAAATTAAAACAAGAAGCTTGAGTGTTGACACTCGGTTACAACTTGAAATATGCATATATCAATATTTCTGGTCCATTCACATGCAATAAATTCATAGTGAGACATAAAGATACTGTAGGTGTAAACTTGTTGTAAAATTTATATTTTATATTGATGGGAGTGGTTTTGATGCTTGAAAATAAGTTGGTTTAATTTAAACATCTCAAGAAATTGCTAGGAAATAGTTAGTGGGTTGTTATTAATCCTTTTCTGTGATACCTTTTCTTTGCTCGAATTTTCTTCGGTAAACTCTGAGGGTCTCCCTTATGAAACCAAGAATTGGACAAAGTATTTAATTTCTTGTTGACAAGTACTATTTTTTTTCCAATGATTTTTTTCATTTTTCTTGAATCCATTTTGTTTTGTTTCTTGCATCAAGGTCTCGTAGAAAATTTTTTATTCTCCGCAAATATTTTCTTATATATCATATTTGAATGGAGCTTTCCACGAAACTGCATCAATTTGAAATTAGAGCATAGATGATAGTCAATCCTGAAGCCTGGGACGGATACTTTTGTCTGACATGTGGAAATTAAATTAGAGTGAAAATGGTGGTTCGTTGTTGAATGTTCACCATGGAGATTTGGCCATTCTTTTTGAGGGATCAGATTATACTTTTCTTTGTCATTTTTTCCTACAAGTTTTATGAACAGAGTGAAAGTCATAGTTGAGAAAAGTCCAGGTATGATTTTTATTTTCGCCAAAGAGGACGGGTGTGATTGACAAGAAACCATCAATTTAAAATGAAATTTTAATTTACAAGTAGAAAATTAAAAAAAAAATGTTGTTTCCTTCAAAATAACTAAGATACAATAGGTTTTTTTTTTTTTTTTACCGGCAACTAAGATACAATAGCTAAACAAGAAGTTTGGTGCATAATTAATAGTCCAAATATCCTTTTCTTTTTATAATCTATGTAAGTCATTTATATCAACATAATATGTGAAGCTATGAGGAGAGAATGGCCTAAAAATACGTTAAAATAATGAAAAGATATTTTAATAATTCCACCTCAATTTCTGTGCATAGCATGGGTCATATAAGTTCTTGAAAGAACAGCTTAAAGGGCCATGAAATAAAACTATGATCTTGAGAAAATCAAGATCCAACTTTAAAGTTTGATTTTATGAACTAGCATTCATATTATTTATTGAAGCGGAGAGGCGAAATGCAGCTAAAAGCTTTTTGTTAGTAACATAACATAAAAAATTAGATAAATGTTTTAAATTTTAAAATTAGTTTTTAAAGTTTATGTAAAAATTTGATCCTTTAATTTGGGAAACATTGGTCTTTTGAATCCCTAGAAAAATTGTATAAAATACATTATTCTATTCTCTTGAAAGAGCAAGTTTAATTATATGAAAAAATACAGGTTGGTCCGTAAAATAAATTTTGGATAACTCAACATATGAGTGGTACCAACTTCTATGTCTTAAGTTGTAGAAGTCTTTTAAGGATAATTAATTTTTGTTATCAGCAGAAAATACTTCTTATCCATGGAAAAATGTATTTTGGCCAAATATAATTTAAATTTATAAAATAGTACTTTCAGCCTATTTTGAAATTATAGTGGCATAGTTTTTTTAATAAACTAAGGACATATTTTGAAAATAAATAATTATTTTTTTGCTAATTGAAAATAAAAATTTAACGTCATATAAGCTCGGTTACGATGAAATAAGGATTTGAAAATTTTAAAAAATGAAGTCATCCCACTCGCTAACAATATTAAGAACGCATCCAATTTAAGTAAACTAATGTTGGAGGCTATGAAAGTGGCAAAATGGTATTTCTTCTTTTAAATTAATTAGATTTGAGATCACATTTTCACCATTTTGAAATGCCGCCAGTAAATTAAGAGATGGATTTTTTTTTCCTTTTGGCTTCTGAATTAAATGATGAATTCCAACTTTTAATTGGAAATAAAGATCAGCACGAATAACAAAAATCCTCATATTATATCTTGCAAAATAATATAGTTTGGTTGCAAAAGACAATACTACCCGTGTTCCTAATTATAAAACCTCCTTTATAAGATTAGAGGCACCCCCTCCGTTCCTTATTATAAGAGACATTTGATACTTATGACATGTTCCTATATAAAAGAGACACTTAAAAGTTGTCTCTATTTTTGTGTGTTAATTTCCTACTTTATCCACATTTATTTTGTCTCCAACTCACACTCTCTCTCCCTCCCACTTCTCTTTCTTTTAATAATTTAATTGTTCTCTCTCATGCTCTCTCTCCTTATTAATGAGGGCATTTTTAGAAAGAAAATTATACTTTTTATGCATTGATTATTCTTAATTAATTTTAACTGTTTTTTTTATTAACGTAATTAAGTTATTCATCTCTTATAATAAGGAACAAAGGGAATAATATTTTTGTCCTGGCAAAATAATAATATCTTGCAAGAGAACAGCATCCAACACCAGCAAAATTCTCAATATTACGAGCTCCGAGAAAACATTGTCATTTATTTTTGTTGAAATAATATCCTCTGATGACTTTCCTTCATAGGAAAAGTATACAAGTTATTAGCTAGTTATGTTATTTTGGAAACTCTCTGTATATAAAAGCCTATATCTAGTTATGTTTTTTTTTCTCCTCGTAATTATCTAGTTATGTTATGATTCATACTACTTCTAGTCCTAATTATAAAATCCTGTTTATAGACTACAATGAAGTCTTATAATTAGGATTGGAGTTAATATCATATAACATTTTATAAAATGTCAAATTATGTGACTTAACTTATAGATAGTATTTTTAAGGAGTGTATGTAATTATGTAGGTGATTGAAGGTTTTGAAGTCAAATTATTTATCTCAACCCGGCCAAACAAAAATATTTATATCTAAATATTTCTTCTTGTAGAATATACATGTCGTTAATTCTAGAGTAACTAAATCTTTCCCAACCATGTATTAAGTTGTGCAGCAGATAAACAATAATGATTATTTATCTATGGTTTCCATATTGAATGTAGTTTAGGTCACAATATCCCCAGTTACAAGGGAATTAGGATATAATATAAGAGCGTATATATTTTAATTGTTCATTTAAAAGGTGAATAGTTTAGATCTTATTCTAATTTATTCTCAATATTTTAATGTCTTTCTGTTTTCACACCAAATTTACAAATAAACATAATTTTCATAAATTATGATTTATTTAAAGTGAGACTTTAATGCGCAATATATATATATATATATATATATATCATACGTAAAGGTGAGATCATTGCAGCTTAGTCTAATATAATAATCTAAGATAGCCGTGAAGCTTCTTGTAAAATCAGTGAGGGAATATACTTTGCCTTTTTTTCATTTGAGGGAGATTTCTACATTGTGGGGGCAAAAGGAGGAAGACTTTAATTGACTCGTAATTTTATAATATAACAACCATAAATCTTATGTTGAAAATAAAAATTTAGCCATCACAAGAGCATGGTTACAATAAGATAAAGATTTAAAATTAAAAAAATATGGAATCTATTGAGACGCATCTAATTTAAATAATCTAATATTGGAAATAACCACAATATTATTAAATAATCTAATATTGTAATTAGGACTTGCGATTTGATAGAACAATTGCTGTTACGCGCGACAGGAGACTAGATATAAATATATTCTTCTGGTCTTAAATATAAGACACACTTTATAGTATAATTTATACTATAAAGTATGTCTTATATTTAGGACCGAAGGAGTGTGTGTATGCAAACCGCAAAATGAGTGCTAAAAATAAGAAGGAAATTTTTTAGTAATTTAACATCTTTGAAAGTGTTTAGATTTAAGATCATATTTACACCGTTTTGAAATGCCATCAATAAATTAGATGAGTTTTTTTTTTTTAGGCTCCTGTATTAAATGATGAATTCCACCTTTCAATTGCGAGTGTTATGTGTGCGAGAATGTTTTGTTAGAAAAAGAGAGCACTTTTGTCAAAGAAAAATAAGAGTATCTTACAAGAGCACACTATTCGACACAAAAAAAAAAAGCTCAATATTGTGGACTCTAAAAACATTGTGCATTTATTTTGAATTTTTATCTTTTTTTCAAAAAAAAAAAGAGGTTGTTGAAATAACGTGTTCTCTCCACATCTGCTCTGACTTCTCTTCATCAGAAAGTGTACCAGTGATCCATCAAAGTACAGCCCCACAATGAACTCTATAAAAATTCTACGTACCATCCACATTTTACGCCTCACAACATCTCGTGAGCTGAGAAAATAAACAAAAAGGAACCACGGTTATCCAAGAACTGTGTTTTAATCCTCTCTCGTTGTTTCACTTTTGAATTTGTGTTGAAGCTATTTTGTTGCTGTGATGGGCTGTGTGTTCAATTGTGTTAATGCATTATTGACATTGCTGTTGTTGCTGCATACAAGACTCAGTTTGGCCACTGATGGTGAAGCATTGAAGAAGTGCATCGAGAAGGAGAAGAAAGCTCTTTTGTTGTTCAAACAAGGCATCTATGTTGACTTTGGTATGCTGTCCACATGGAGGGATGGAGATGGTGAAGATTGTTGTAACTGGAAAGGAGTTCACTGTAGCAACCAAACAGGTCACATTCAAATCCTTGATCTCCACGGTTCAAATCTACTTTTTTTGAGTGGTACCATTAATATTACTTTGTTGAGTGAGTTGCATGATCTGAAACATTTGGATCTCAGTTACAATAATTTCTATCCAAGTGACATCCCTCAGTCTATAGAGTCATTCACCGACTTAAGGTATCTCAACCTCTCTTATTCTACTTTTGTTGGGAGTATTCCCAATGAATTGGGAAAGCTTTCAAACTTACAATATATTGATCTGAGTAACAATTACTTGGATGGAGCTATCCCTAGGCAAATCGGAAATCTTTCCAAGTTGCGGTCCCTTTATCTTGGAGGAAATAATCTTGTTGGAGTGATTCCTTATCAACTTGGTAATCTCTCCAAGCTCCACACTTTGCGACTCGGTGGTGGTCGTTCTAACCTCACAATAGCTGACAGAAAGAATGGTGATGCAGAGTGGATATCAAAGCTCTCTTTATTAACAAATCTTGAGTTGAGTTATGTGAGTGATGTTGGCAATTCTCAGGTGTGGCAGCACATTATTGGTAAACTTGTACCGAAACTAACAGAATTGAGACTGAGAGGATGTGGCATTTCTCATGCGCATAACCTTCTTCTGTTTGCTTCTCCTTCCAACTATTCTTATTCTCTTGTCACCCTTGATCTCTCTTATAATAACTTGAACTCTTCGTTGTTTCAATGGCCCTTCAATTTTAGCTCCAGCCTTCAACAGCTTTATCTGAGAAATTGCAGTCTTTCATCTCATAATTTCTACTTTCTATCTTCTCATTTTCATTTTCCTTCCCTCATTGTTCTTGATCTCTCTTATAATAACTGGACCTCAGTAATGACGTTGAACTTTGGCTCAAATCTTCAAGAACTTTATTTGAGCAATTGTAGCCTTACATTAGATAATCTTATCTTCACATCTTTCAATCCCAACCTTTCCTCTCTTGTCCATCTTGATCTCTCTGAAAATCATTTGACATCATCAGTCATATTCTATTGGATTTCCAACTTCACCTTCAATCTTCATGGACTGGACCTCTATTACAATTTGCTTAGCGGTTTCATTCCAGATGGTTTTGGAAACATAATGAAGTCTCTTGAAGTTCTTGATATCTCCGATAATCATCTCCAAGGTGAAGTCCCAACATCACTAGGGAATATATGCACATTGAAGAGCTTAAAACTTGGCTACAATAACTTTAGTGGGGACCTTCCGAGATTCATTTATAATATATCATGGTGCAATAGACATTCATTACAGAGATTGGATTTAGCAGGAAATCGATTGATGGGCATCTTACCTAATCTTTCGAGTTTTTCCTTTTTGCAATATTTGGATCTCTCTGATAACCAACTAGAAGGAAAAATACCTGAAAGCATTGGATTGATGTCTCAACTGGAATATTTGTATTTGGATGGGAACAATTTGGGAGGCATAATCACCGAATCTCATTTCTCAAATCTTTCTAATTTGTGTGCCTTATCATTGTCTCGCAATTCACTGAGCTTGGAAATCAGCATGAGTTGGACTCCTCCTTTCCAGATACAATATATGTACATGGCTTCTTGCATGATAGGTCCTAATTTTCCAAATTGGCTTTATAATCAACATCAGTTATCCACTTTGGATATTTCTGATGGCGGGCTTTCAGGATCTATCCCAGAATGGTTTTGGCCACTATTGAAAAATATAAATCGGATGAATATCTCATTCAACAACTTTTCTGGTGAAATCCCAAACTTGCCACTCAAGCTTTATGAAGGCTCACAAATAATTTTGACTTCAAACAACTTTAAAGGTGCACTTCCATCATTTCTTTCAAAAGCATCAGAACTTTATCTTTCTAAAAATAAATTCTCAAATTTGAGTCTACTTGTATGTGGCCAAAGTGAAGGTGGGGGCATTGTCATTTTAGACCTCTCAAACAATCAACTAACAGGGCATCTACCTAAGTGTTGGAGCCAACTAAACACGTTAAAATTTGTTGACATGAGCAATAATAATTTGTCAGGAGAGATCCCGTCCTCTATAGGATGCCTCGTGAATATGGAGGCTTTGATTTTAAGAAATAATAGCTTGACTGAAGAACTTCCTTTGTCTTTGGTGAATTGCTCAAAGTTAGTATTATTAGATGTGTCAGAGAATAAGTTGTCAGGACCAATACCTTCATGGATTGGGGTAAGCCTTGAACAATTGCAAATCCTAAGTTTACGGATGAATCATTTAAATGGAAGTCTACCTGTAAATCTTTGCCACTTGACACAAATTCGACTGTTGGATCTCTCTCGTAATAACTTGTCTAACAAAGTTCCATCATGCCTTGAAAATTTTACTGTTATGGCACAAGAGCACATCAACTTAAGCACAAGCTATCATTATTATATGATCAATAAAACAGGGTATTATTCATACCTTGATGGTTTGGAATTCTATATAACATTGATGTGGAAAGGTAAGGATTACATGTATACGAGGCCAGAACTCTTTCTTAAAAGCATTGATCTCTCTAGCAATGCTCTTTCAGGAGAAATACCAAGAGAACTTATGTCTTTGTTAGGATTGGTTTCCCTAAACCTATCAAGGAACTGGCTAAGTGGAGAGATACCTATAAATATTGGGAATCTAGAATCACTAGAATTCCTTGATCTGTCAAACAATAAATTATCAAGCCCAATTCCTCCAAGCCTTGCTAGTATTGATCGACTCAGTATGTTAGATTTGTCAAACAATCATCTCTATGGAAAAATCCCAATAGGAACACAGTTGCAGAGCTTTAATGCCTCATCTTATGGAGGAAACCTTGATCTTTGTGGATTGCCACTCAACAAGATGTGCCTAGAAGATAACACGCCTCCACCTCAAGAAGCCAATCACGATGAAGAAGAAGAGGCCTCATTGTTCTCTCAAGAATTTTACTTGAGCATGGGATTGGGATTCGTTGTTGGATTCTGGGCCGTTGTAGGACTATTGCTTTTCAACCGAACCTGGAGAGAAGCCTACTATAGGTTTATGAACACAGTAACAGACAAAGTCCATGTCATGGTTGCAGTTTATGTGGTTAAATGGCTTACCATCAGAGACTAGTAGCAAGGTAATGATTTATATTTTTCTCTTGCTGTTCTTCCTCCTATTCAACTCTTACTTATGATGACCATGTGATGGTAAATTACTAGAGTCTATATTAATATAGACAAACATTTTAACTTGGTAATGATGTTCAAATAAAAATCAAACTTGGATGTTGTATCAGGCTTTTTGACTAACTTGTGGGAAAACTAAGACAATAAAAATCAATCTTATCTATGGAATTATTTGGGAATGCTTAACATGCTACTCTGTTTTTTACAGGATCTGTTTGTCCTACAATTTGGCATTGGATGTAGTTATGATCCAAGTAATGATGGTTTGTTGCACGGATTTATGTTATGATTTGAAATATATTGCACTTGTAAGAATGTTCTCTACTAGCATTTTATCGAACTGGTTATGTTATGCTTATTGCCCTTTAAATATTTTTTGTTGCATGCTAACTGGGGATATATATATATATATATATAACTCCAGCATAACATTATAAGTTTCGAAATGATATTCCTTTTGAATTACCTATCTATTGGCTTTGTATTGATATGGCCATGTGGAGCTATTGATCAAATAATTCTGCTGAAGAAGAAAATCTGAGGTCCTTAATTTCATGAAGTAGAACTTACACATTGGTTTGATTGATTTGTGACAAGACATTGAAGACTAATATCTTTGATCGCTGAACAAATCGGTGCATCCAAAAGAAGGTCTTGTCCAATAGTTTTAAAACCTTTTGAGGTACGAATATCAAGAACAATGAAGTTAAATATTTCAAAGATATTATGTTTTGAGGTGCAGATTGTTCTGCGTGAGTTCTCTTTTGTATTTGAGATACTCTTCCTCTGCTTAAATCGCATAATATTGAAGAGAAAAGTTGTAAAACTTGGGATCTAGACATGTTAGAGAGTCTTCTAGTTTTAGCTTTAGGAAGCTTACAGAAAACAACAATAAAAAGTGGCATAGATAAACAGAGTCAATGTTTGGGCTGCTTTGTATGTTATATTAATTTCTACCTATGATAAAAATCCCTTGCTTTATGCTTGGGGACTAGACGTAGGACATATTGGTCTAAACCAGAATAAATGATCGTGTGCCTTTTCTCTTCCTTCACTTGTTTTATTTGTTATTTTTTAAAAATTATATTCAAGGATAACCACATATTTCATAGAAATTTCACCATATAAAGTCATAGAAATAAAAAAATACTTTTGTGACATAATCAAACTTTTTCTTCTAGATTTCTAGGTTAACACAACTCAAGAGATGATGCTCTAATGCATGTTCTTTAAGAATAGTCCCCAAAAATACATAAGCTCGACTCTTACGTATAAATAACTTCATAAAGCAATTATTAATTTTAAGTAGTAGTTTATTTTTCTTAACATTTGTAATTTATATGAATTCAAACAATAGCTACTTTTTTTTAAAAAAAAATGTTTAACACTAATACTACAATCAAAGAGATTTAGTGGAATTACTCAAATCCGCGTTCACACTTAGCAACCCCAAATCCTATGATATAGGCATTGATTCTAATATAATAGGATCATCATCAATATATCTGAAAACAAAATTTATGGCAAGTTTTGTTATTCACAACATTAATTCAAAAATAATATTTTTTTTGGTATGATCAATTTGAAACATTTTCTTAGAAGAGAGCCACACACTCCATTTTTTGCTACTTTGAGCCTTGAGGTATAAAATCCACGCTCAAGGTACAAGATGTCATTGAATTAAAAGGTTGGTTCTCGACAATTTAATAACAACTAAGATTTTACGTGCGCAGTGCCCTTATATAGGAAAAGAAATGGATGGAGCCCACAAACGTAGAAAGGATTGTGATTGTGTGGCTCTCCATACAATTTTGGCTTCTTCTCCACAAACCAAGCCTTTGGAGTTTTAGAATTAGAAGTCGAACACCCTACACTTATATAAATATTTAAAATAATACTTCTGATTTTTAATATAAATATAAGAATTAGATAACTAATTTTAAATATTAAAAAAATAAGTTAAGTTAGTTATTTTTAATTAATAAATATTATTTTTTAAAAATATTTTATTAATCATGTGCATCAAAATGAAAATCATTTAACCTATGCAATTTTTTTTAAAAAAAAATAAATGTAAGAAACAAAATTAATTAAATTTCTATATTTAAGATCAGAGATACAGAATTATATTGTATCATTTTTTTTTTCAAGCTGATGGCATCATTCTAAACTTTTCTTTTCCTCCTGTATTGAGAATTTTGCTCACTTTTTCACCACCCACTCCTCAAATATCATACCAAATTCTCCGTGTCCTTATTATTATTATTATTATTTTCTTTATTATTTTTTAAGAAAATCACATATAAGGACCCGTTCAACAAAATTATTACCATTTTCTTATTAATTGTTATGAAAACCAATACTAATATTGTAATGGGTCCTTGTTTATAATTTTTCTATTTTAAGGTCTTTTTTACAATTTTTTTCTCATCCCCCCCCAACAATTTCCTTCATTATTATTTACTTATATTCATAACTCTTTTTTTTTTGTGTGGAAATACCCTCTTTATTTTATATTACACGCCTTCTTTAACTTTCATTTCTAGATATTTTTTTTACACAAAAATGCGTCTTTGTTGATTAATTTACCCATTTTGGGCCTCATATTTTCATCTATTTAGATATTTTCACCATTATCTCTATCGTTAAGTCGATTAATTTAACCAAAAAAGACATAGATTAAATAAGAAATTAATAATACTTAAATTATTATTTAACAATTATTTTTATTTTTTGGAAAATAAATTTTCTCCTATCATATCTACAATATTCATTTTCCTGTGATTAAATTTCTTTCCTCATTTTAATCTGGGGTGTTAGATGAACCGGACCAAGCTAACTTAGTCTGATATCCAAGGCTTTAGTCCAGGTAAGGCTACTCATTCTCAACTCATCAACAGGCCACGTTAGGATTCTCAGCATTGAATACCAGATATAGGATAACTGGAAAGATTGTCACTAAACACTCCTTCATAGATTGTGGTCAGATTCTATTTCTAATACACAGGATCCTCTTAAAGAGGCAAGTGCAGAGCATACTCAGAATCTCTGACGACAGAAGAAAGACATTATAAGTGAGGCTTTCAGAAGAAGAGAGAAATTTAGAGAGAGCTCATAAGGAAAGCACACTAGTATTATACAAGGAAGTCGATACAACTCCTTTTGCCCGTAACTGATGACAGAGTGGGGTTTATATAGAGGCTCAGAGCCATTACATGACAAAGTCCTAATAGTAGATATCATTATGACAGGTAGGGGTCATAATGACTTTCTATGCTAATAATGACACAATTACCAATTACTTTAATAAAGGCAACTACTTTACTGATTACAAGAAGACGAAATAGACTACAGGACGAACTACTTTAATAAAGTAAAAGTAGATGGCAACATAAAGTAGGAATTTGGCGAGTCCCCCTTATCTTCAGAGCATCACAAAAGAAGATTTTCTGATGATGGTGTTCCCTAGTCTTTACAAATAGGTTCATGGCTAGGGGATAGGTTCATGATGCCTTATGGGTCAGGGTCATCTGAGTCATAGTGTCTCCTTATACAGTCGGGGTCTTCAAGTTCTGGGTCAAGGTCATCTTGGTTAGGATCTTGGGATTCTCCTGCAAGGAATGGGAGTTGTGGCTGAAAACTTGGTTGAGAAAGATGGAGTCCTTCAGGCTGAGTGAGTTGAATCTACGAGTCTCCATCATAAAGGTCTTGGGAGGCTTCTGTCTATAGAGGGACTTGTGACCTATTTGGTGGAGGTCTGACAACACTCATGATGAAATCTCTCTGGAATTCTTCAAGTGTTGTGTTGCTGGCTGACAATGAGCTTGGAGGGAAAGGTCCAAGAGAAAGACATGAAGTGTCTTCTCCCGTGTCAGGCTGATTAAGTGCAGTTAATGTTTTCCCAATTTTCTCCATTAACAATGCTTCATTTCTAGGCCATGAGGGGGTGGTGAGTTGGAGAATCAGATGGTTGTCTGTGTAAAGCCTTTGGTCAGCACTTATACCATAGTTCCTGAAAAAGGTATGCAAACAGAAAAATCTCTTTTCTTTGGGAGATGGTAAGTCCTAGATATTATGTTCTTTGAGAATTTTCTAGAGTTTGCCTCTCCAGCAGAGAAGAGGAGCAATCATCTCAAAGAGTGTGGTAAGAGGAGAATTTTCATTTCTGAAGTCATTCAGGTGATCATGTACGACTGCGGCTGAAAAGGCTATGGCACAAGTATAATTGGCTGAGACAGACCAGATGTACCATAAGAGTTCCTCTGGTATGGGTCCTTTGATGATGGGAATAGTGAGGTATGGAGCATCGACATCAAAGTGCTGAGGGTAAGGGTGAATCCCAGTATCTACAAGAAGACGGTGGAGCGAGTAGAACATAGTGCTTCTGGCAAGGTTTTGGACATCTGCTGGAGATTCAGGATGGGATCCAGGAGGGAAAATGGTGGCTCTTATTCTGTGAGGCATTTCTGGTTCAGAGATGGTTATGATGAAAAGGGTTGGTGTTTGGAGAGTGATAAGAGTTTTGGAGGCTGAGAAACTTTCTGAGGTCTTGTGAGGAATTCTGCTATGATGTTCTGGTGACCTTTGAGGTGATGAATGATGAATTTATAGCAAGAGAACCAGTCTTTCTATTAGAGTAACTGGATGTCTGGCAAAGTCTTTCCCTTGGGATTAAGCATTCTGGGAAAAGACATATTGTCCATTTCTACTCTGAATTGATAAGGACTGAGATGAAAACTAAACTTCTCAATTCCTCTTTTGACTTCAAGGATTTCCTTGTAGGTAGCATGATAATGCTTTTCTGACTCCTTGAATTGTCCGCTTGCATGTCCACAATGGAGTCACTTTCCATCTATTTCTTCAATTAAGACAGCTCCCTAAAAGTCATCACTGGCATCAGTCTAGAGGATTCGTAGCCTTTTGTTAGGAATCTTTAAAGGAGGTGGTTGCTGTGCAATTCTTTTGAGAGTCTTGACAGCTGAGGTCTGCTCTGTCCCCCATGCAGGAGGATTCTTTTTGAGAAGTATAGACAGCTGGCTGGTATGACTAGACACATGAGGGATAAAATCTCTAAGATAATTAATAATCCCCAGAAATTGTTGAATTTGCTTTGTTGTCAGATTCTTGTCTGGGAACTTGAGCAATTCTTCTGCAATATGTGGTCCAGGATAATACTGACCATTTTCAAAATTCATTTCAAGAAATTCTATGCTTTTGACACCTATTACTGACCATTTTCAAAATTCATTTCAAGAAATTCTATGCTTTTGACACCTATTTCTTATTTCTTTGCCGACAAGATAATCCCATATTTTTCAATTATTTTCCCAAACTAGGTCAATAAAAGTTTATGGGAATCCTCGTCTTTTGAGAAGAGTAAAAGGTAATCAATGTAAATGAGGAGATTATCAAGCATAGGTTTAAAGATTCTGGTCATGGCTTTTTGGAACAGTGATGGGGCAACTTTGAGCCCAAATGGCATAACAGTCAATTGGTACTGGGCATTTGGGATACAAAAAGCAGTTTTAGGTCGATCTTCTGGGTGGATACCCAATTGCCAAAATTTTACTTTAAGATCAAACTTGGAAAAGATTTTTGCATCTCTAAGATAGATTGTAAGTGAACTGGGCTTTGGTAAAGGGAATTTGTCATCTTGAAGGAAAATATTAAGAGGTTTATAGTCAATGACTAACCTTTTCTTCCCTCTTTTGATTTCTGATCTTTTTTCAACATAGAACGCTTGGTAAGCCCAATCAAGTTTTGTTGGTTCTATAAGGCCTTGTTTGAGAAGTGCAGAGCATTCTTCTTTGATGAGCTTGAGATCTTTTGGATTCATTCCTGGATGAGAGGCTTTTGTGAGATTGATATCTTCATTTTTCTTAAAAGGGAGTTTTATGAAAAAATCTTGATTTTTCCATAATGGAAATGGATGAGAGAATTGTTAATGACTATCAGCGCAAAACTGGAGGAGATGATCTCGGATACCTTCATATCCTAGTGGTGCTTGTTGGATTTCAAAGAGATTAGGAATTTCAGTATATGCACTAAAGAAATTTTTATATCTAATTCCTTTAGGCAGTACTTGAAGATTCCTAGTATGATAATAAGCATCAAATCCAATAAGAATATATTTCCTGGGGAGATCACTACCAAGAACTTTCATCCATAGAACACATCCTAGAAAGAATTCAATACCAATCTTCCTTCGAGTAATCCATTCAATCTTGAATGTTTTTGAATTAGCAGTAAGGAAGGATTGATCACAAGGGATCCATGCTTCAGAAAGAAGAATATCAAGATTCATGATGGTTCTGCAAGCTCCAGTATCTATGAAAGCAATAATAGGAATTGGCTTTTCATACCTTCCTGGAAGGATATAGATTTTGACATTTGGCTTGGGAGTAAGTTTGTTGTGGTCTGGCTGAGAAGCCAGGGAACCAAGGAAAGATGGATACACGGGTTGTTCAAGGGAATATAAATACCCTTGAGGATCATCATCTTCTTAGGATAAGGATTCAGAATCAATTTCTTCATCTTCAGAGAAAGGAAGAACATGTTATGTTTCTTCATCCCGAGCATCTTGTTCTTTGATCACAAATTCAATATCTTCATCTTCATTGATCATTAGAACAGTCTGTAAGTGTTCGAGCATCTTCACATCTTTCTTTGTCTTGTTAGCACAATTTTTTGCAAAATGTCCTTTTTTCTTGCACAGATAGCACCTGTAAGATTTCTTTGAATAAGGCCTGGGCCTTTTGAAGTATCTCAGGAAAGGCTTTCTGGATCTTCTCCTAGAATAAGAATCTTTTAGATATCTGAATCGACGATAATGAGATTTTCTCTTGGTAGAACAAGAGCAATCTTTATCGTCTTTGCACTTTATCTTCAAATGGGGCCTTTTGCAGACATGCTTCAGCTTTGACTGTCCTTTCAGCATTCCTTTGAAGAACTTCTGTTGTTCACAGAGTTTGTCCCCAGTTGCTAATGCCAATTGATATATTTTTCCTACAGAAATGTCAGTCATGTTTCTATGGAGTGCGTTGATGGCTCTATGAAGTTCTGGTTACAGTTCATCTAGGAGAGAGGCAATAAAAGTATGCCTGAGATTGACATCATTAGCTCCTCTGAGCATGTAGTATTTTTCAGACATTCTCTGGAAATGTTTTTGCAAGTCTCTTTTATCTAAAGAACAACAATTCATCTCAAAGTATTATTGGCGATATCTTTTGTCAATGATCTGGAAATCACCAATAAATTCTTTGTGAATGAGTCCCAAAAGAGTTCCTGCATTATCAACTCTAGCTGTTGTTATCTTCTGGTAATCACTGAGACTTTGAAACCATTCTCTTAATGTTCCAGTCAGTCTTGAGAGAAATTCTTTAAGAACTTCCTTAAGATTTGTATCATGCCTGGCAAGCTGCAAGTCAATCCATATGCCAAATTCATGAAGTCTATCTCTCCATTTTTCTGGAGGAAGGTCATCAAAAGTGAACCATAGACCTGTAGTAGGTTTGTAGTCTGTTCTTCCTGAGTCAGACGTATGAGGGACAGATGGTTCTTCATCAAAAGGATCTTCAACTGTAGGATCTGGTTGGACCATTGCTACCTTAGAGATATCAGCATGATATGTCTCAGAATTAGAGTTAGAACTGTATTTAATAGAAGGATCAGACTCAGTTTCAGAGCTTCCATCTATTGATGATTAATCTTTATTCAAGGATTGGAAAGTGGCTATGGTTTTGTTTGGATGAACAACTTCTTTTTCTTTTTCTCTGTCTGGAAGAGAAGTTTGTTTTGGTGGAGATGATGATGAAGTTCTTATTATAACTCCTTGCGAGGATGGTGTTGGTTCAATAGGTTTATTAAAGCGTAGCTAACTATTTCCCAATGAAAAGATATGAATGATTGGATAAACTAGCTTGAAAGGGACTTGAGGTATTATTTAGTTTAATAAATTTAAAGTGAAGAAAAAGCTATTGGCTGGGAGGAAGAATTATAGTTTGACGTCTGTATCAAACTTATAAATATTATTTTTATCATTACCCCGTTTCTGATGAGATGATAAATGTAAAAATAAATAAATAAAGAAATACCAAAATCTATAATTTTCTTCAGGTTATTTGTTGCTGTATCATAAATGATTGTCGTTTTAAACATTTAACATTATCCAAAACACCACATCTTTGGACTGAACATTCTCTATTCAATTTGTCAGCATTTTATTATTGATGGATGATGGATGACCAGTCCCATACCTTATAGTCACAATTAAAAAAAAAACTACAATTTACTGTTTAAAATTAAAATTATTTATTTTGTGTGTGTGTGTTTTCGTTGTAAAACTACTTTTAAAGACAAATTAAAGATGACGATGATGATCATAAATCGAAAGATGAAAATAACCATCAAGGAAGCTATCTTAACTTAGCTCTGGCAATGATTAAATCCAGTCTAGTAGTCTGATATTAGAAAATTAAATTAAAAATATGTAAAAAAAAAAAAAGAAAAAGAAAAAAAGGGGAAAACTGGGGAAAAGTCCCCATTTGAAAAATATGTTAGCAAATAGGACCTGACAATTTGTCAGCTTTTGAGGTCCTTTAGTCTAAATAAATTTCAAAATAAAAAGACCAAAATACCCTTAATTGTACATACTGGGAGTTTCTTTGCACATAAGGAATATATGTTGCACATTATTAGAGTTTGATTGCACCTAACCTAGGTTGCACATAATGAAAGATAATTGCACAGAGCAAAAATTCAGTTGAAAACAGAAAATATATATTGCACGTAAGAAAAAGTCAATTGCACTTAACTTGTAAGTTGCAGATAATGGAAGATAAAATACATACGAGAAGTTTAGTTACACATAAGAAAGATATATTACATGTAAGGCAAGTTAGATTGCACACAACATGCTTTGAACATAATGAAAGATAAATTACACATATGAGAAGTTTAGTTGCACACAAAAAAAAATTTGCATGTAAGGGAAGTTAGATTGCACAGGACATGTTTTAAACATAATGAAAGATAAGTTGCATATATAGGAAGTTTAGTTGCACATAGGAAAGATATAGTGCACATTATTGAAGTATGATTGCACCAAACCTAAATTGCATAGATTGAGAATTTAGTTGCACGTAGGAGAGAAATGTTATTGAGGTTCAATTGCACATAACCTAAGTTGTATATAATAGAAGATAAATTGCACAGACTAAGAATTAAATTGCACATATGGATGATATATTGCACGTAAGGAAAATTTAGTTACACTTAATTTAAATTGCACATAGTAGAAGATAAATTACACATATGAGGAGTTTAGTTGCACACAAGGAATTATACCGCATGTAAGGGAAGTTTAGTTGCACCTCATATAATTTGCACATATTGCACTTATGTTTTAAGCATGTTGTGCACAATCTAACTTACTTTACCTGTAATATATCTTTGTTATGTGCAATTAAACTCCCCATATATGCATTTCATCTTCTATTATGTGTAACTCATAGGTTAAGTATAATTGACTTTTTTTTTCACGTGCAATATATCTTCCTTATGTGTAATTAAATTTTCTTTATGTGCAATTTATCTTTTATTATATATTGCACATTACTAAAGTTTGATTGCACCTAACTTAAAGTTATAAATTGCACATAATAAAATTCAATTGTACATAAAAAGATATATTGCACGTAAGAAAAAGTCAATTGCAAGTAACCTATAAGTTGCACATAATAGAAGATAAAATGCATATATGGGGAATTTAATTGCACATAACAAAGATATATTACAGGTAAGACAAGTTAGATTGCACACAACTTGCTTAAAACATAAGTGCAATATGTACAAATTATATGAGATGCAACTAAACTTCCCTCACGTGCAATATAATTCCTTGTGTGCAACTAAACTCATCATATGTGTAATTTGTTTTCTATTATGTGCAATTTAGGCTAAATGCAACTAAATTTTCTTTATGTGCAATATATCATCCCTATGTGCAATTTAATTCTTAGTCTGTGCAATTTATCTTCCATTATGTGTAACTTAGGTTATGTGCAATTGAACCTCAATAACATGCAATATATCTCTCCTACTAAATTCTTAATTTGTGTAATTTATTTTCTATTATATGCAATTTAGGTTTAGTACAATCAAACTTCAATAGCGTGCACTATATCTTTCCTATGTGCAACTAAACTTTCTATATATGAACTTATCTTTCATTATGTTTAAAACATGTCCCATGCAATCTAACTTCCCTTGCATGCAATATTTTTTTTTTTGTGCAACTAAACTTCTCATATGTGTAATTTATCTTTCATTATGTTCAAAGCATGTTGTGTGCAATCTAACTTACCTTACATGTAATATATCTTTCTTATGTGTAACTAAACTTCTCGTGTGTATTTTATCTTCCATTATTTGCAACTTATAAGTAATTAAGTGCAATTGACTTTTTCTTACGTGTAATATATTTTTTCAGTGTTCAACTAAATTATTGCTCTGTGCAATTATCTTTCATTATGTGCAACCTAGGTTGGGTGCAATCAAACTCTAATAATATGCAACATATATTTTTTATGTGCAAATAAACTCCCAATATGTGCAATTAAAGGTATTTTGGTCTTTTCATTTTGAAATTAATTTAGCTTGAAGGACCTTAAAAACTAACAAATTGTCAAGTCCTATTTACCAATATATTTTTCAAATGGGGACTTCTCCCCAATTTTCCGTTTTATTTTTCCATCTGAATTGAAAGGTGATAAAAGATTGTATCATTTTATTACTGTTATGTTGAAGCTACAGCTAATATTGCAGAGTAAATGTGATAAACTAAGGGCAATACCGGAAGAAGAGCGAAAACTTGTTCAAAGGCTTAAACTTGGGAAGGATGATGAGGTACAACTGCATAAGAGACAAATTGAAGAAATAAGTCAAGAATTAGACGATGCTTCAAAAAAAATGCTGAGCACGCTACAACTAGAGCTGATCTTGCTGAGGTACTAGCTGTGTTAGTATTTTTTTTTTCCCATTTATTTTATAGCATGTATCTATCATCTTCAGGCAATGAAATGAGATGGGCTAATTTGCAAGGAACTGTGATCAGTGTGAAAAACAAAATACAGTATTCTTTTTTTTTTAAAAAAAAACGATGACAATGTTCTACAAACAAGGCTGAATGATGAAGAATTTTTATTGTGCCGATAGGGTTATGGCAAGAAAATTTTTGCTTGGTGCCTTCTATAGAAAGGTGTCTGAATCTTCAGTGGAAGCTTGTGTTTGGTTTTGCAGTGATAGAAAGATGCCTTCTACAACCAACTTGTCCAAGCTCAAATCTCAATGATACAGAATAAATGTTGGGAATTGGGGGGGAGATTAGAGAGGGAAAGATAGAATAGAGAGACACAGAGAGGGAGATGAGAGAGATAGAAGGGAAATTCTATTCCATTCACTCATTATTATTCTCATAACCTAACTACAACTTACCCAATCACCCCGATTTATAGGCCTAGGGACTTGTTAACCAACTCTAATTAACTCTACCCCTTTTTATTACAACTATATACTGTCACTTAACCTAACCAAACACAAGCTTCCACTAAAGATTCAGGCAGAAGAAGGAAGGAAAGAAGAAAGAAATGGAATAAAAGGGAGATGGTTCTAAACAGAAAAACTTGGGAACCACGTGTTGGAAGATATTTCCTGTGTGGCAAATAAGACGTCTTCCTCCTTACCAGATTAATTTTTAATTCTTAATATGGCAAGATGATGCTGAGTAACTTGATTTTTGCATCTTTTTCCTCCAATGTGAACGAATTTGTAGTGCCTTTTGGTTCTCTGTTTATTTAATTTTTTTAAGGATGCTACACAAGGTTGTGCCGTGTGTTTCTCTTAATTTTGAGTATCTGGCTCAACCTTGAAGACTTGTTTTCATGGTGAATGGATGAGTCTAATTTCTATGCGGGAAGTAATTATAGGAATATGGCAGGAACGGTGATCAGCTTAATTGGGAAGAAAGGGACTATGTGTCAGGGCTAGGTCTAGGGATGAGCTGGCAAGAGGTTGTAATCAAGCGTTCTTTCTGTTACTTTGTTGATTGCCTTAAAAAAGGGGCCTTCAGACATCAGGGAGAGATGGGGAAGCATATTCTTGGTAATTTAGGTATAAAAACTAGTGGAGTTCCTTCCAGTCTCAATGAGGATTAAGCTTTCTGTTTCAGCATAATTCTTCTCTTCCTGTTATCTCTATATAGAAATATAGAAGTTGGTTTTTTTCCCCCTCTTCTCAAGTTTTCCCCCTTCTTTGCATTTGGTTGGTGCTTCTTTCGTAGACTAGATCCTGTCAGTGTTTTTAATTCCTGTGATTGGGATTCTAACGCCAAGTTTCCTCTCCGAATGATTCTGTGTAGTGATCAGGAGCAATTATAATAGAATATTATGTGTACTTAAAGAACTGTTTAGGATGTACTGAAGAGCTTGAGGGGCTAATTATGGGTAACTTTCATGTTTAGAATGAATGGATGAAAAACAAAGAGAGAGTTGCAAAAAAAAAGAAAGCTTCTGCAATTGCTGGAGCCGAAATGTGATCAGATAAGAGAAAGTGCTATGAGACAAGTTGAAGAGAAGGAATTGGAGTTAGCCAAAGCCCTTGATGCTTCTGAAATTGCTGAGGTCATTGTTGGAGTTGCCGTTATTTTATTTTTATCATCTCTTTAGTTTGTCTCCATCATTTAACAACGCATGTTATCATATTCTACGTAAACTTTTCAAATGAAATTTGTATTACTATTATTTTCAAAATCTCTTAACAAATAAGGATTGGGACAAATTATTTATAAAAGTTTTCATCAATGATCAAGTCTTTGAAGCTCATTAGAAAAGAAGGGATAATATTCGAGATACAACTGAAGCAGATGTAATTCGAGGTATGATTCGATTGTTTCTGTACATTTGTATGTTATGTCCTCCCCCCCCCCTTCTGTTTTCTATACTTTTTTATTTGCTCTTATATTTAAGATAGTCAATATTAATGTTCGTACATATTTGTCTTTGAGATTCACCCAAACTATGTTACCTCACCTACTGATTTTTGTTGTTGATACTGAAATCATAATAACGTATTATGTGTACTGAAGGAATATTTTAGGATGGGCTGAGGAATCTAAGTGACCATTAATTTGTAACTTATTATGTTCAGAATGAATGGATTAAAGTGAAGAAACAGTTGCAAGAAAAGCTTGAGCATGTGCAGTTGCCAAAGCAGGAATGTCAGGAGACAAGATAAAGTGCCATGAGACAAGTAGAAGAAAAAGAACTAGAGTTCGCTGATGCCCTTAATGCCCTTAATGCCGCCGCAACCGCAGCATCCAGTTCTGCTGTCGCTGAGGTATTTAAAAGAAAGAAAGAAAATCCTACAGATATTTACCAAAATAGACTAAACTGATCATAAGTTAGTCAAAATTTTCAGTCTTGCTTGCATATTTACCCATCATTAACTTACTATACATATATTTTATATAATGAAACTACCTAAAAATTTCACTCATTATCCCGATTTATAACCTCTGATCTTGAGAAGGAAATCAAATCTTTAGGCGATTAGAAATATTTTGCTTTATATTAGTACTATTTCTTCCCCACATTGTGTGCGACTGGCTTCGATTCGAAGTTTAATGTTTATTATTTAAAAGTCAACGGAAGCATCTTTCTGACTGGCTTGAGGTGAAATGATTAGTCAGCTTTTGAGCGAAATATCACACTACCTCCAATCTAAATAACTGATTTACAGATATTAAGAAAATTAGTTAAATTAGTTATTTGTAATAAACAGATGTTATCTTCCGTAAAATATCCCCATCAGTCATATGTATCGAACACCTTAACATGTGCAATCATTATAGGGATTACTTAGAGACAAAATAGATAAATAATAGAAACAAAGTAAATTGAGATCTTATATTTAGGATCTAATTGAATCTCGAACTAGCTCTTATATTAAGGACTAGAGATAGCATCTTACTAGTGTTTATAACACTAATTAATACTTGGTTACTTTTTTTAGAAGGTACTTTTTGATTTCAAATTGCATAAAAAGACAATTAAAACTAAAAGGAGTATATGATGGATCATATTTTGTCAAGAAATAGACTGTGGCCCATATTTTGTACGGATTTCAGGCGAGCAGCACTGTTCATAACTTATAAATAACACGGATTCCCATAGATGTTATACTGCGCATTGATAAGGCTGCATTTGAAAATAATGTGATATGTGTTCTTAAAAACTACAAGGTTAAGACTGATGTGAAGATAAAAGTAATTTCCCCCCCTTTATAGTTCCTTCCACGTCTGCAATTTCTGAAGAAATGTGGACACTCTGCAATCTGTGTTCTTTTGTTTTCCCATTAGTCGAATATGACACTTCAACCTTATCACTCCATTACGGTTATGTTGAATCTTTAGCTAATTCTACAGAGTGAATGTGCTAAACTGAAAAGAATGCTGATAGAAGAAGGGAAAACTGTCCAAAAGCTGATACTTGAGAAAGACCTTGTGACAGAAGTGGCCAAGAGACAAATTGAAGAGACATCTCGAGAATTAGCTAATGTCCTTGATGCCTCTGCAACTGAAAAATCAAGCTCTACTGCCGAGGTATTTGTTAAATAATTGAACTGAAAATGCAAAAAGAAATGTTTTATTGGGCTCAAGCACATCCCTGTCTGGTGTCAAGGTATCTGCTCCTACGAATGTGCTTGCAACTTTTACTCAGAACCGGTCAACTCCATTTGGATCATCTGCATCGTCTCCTTCATTTGGGTCAAGGGGGAGCACAGCTTTTTCTTCAGGGTTTTCAGTGTTACCATGTAGTTCAGCGGCAAATGGTTTCAATTCAGGCACCTCCATTGGGCTCGGCACCTTGACTTCCCCTTCAGCATCCAACACTTGGAGTCCATTTGGGTTTTCCGGCCCATCTCTATTTCAGGCGTTTGGCACTGACAGTCCCAATGCTGCAGATCGAAGATTTGTTAGAGTTCGTTTATGCAAGAGGTAAGACTTGGTGTCTTGGTCTATGAAAACGATTATATACTTCCGCTGCTTTGACTTGTCCCATCTTTCGTTTGACCATTGAAACAGCTTTAATTGTGGGTTGTTATTGACACCGGTTCTGTTGGAAATCTGGAATCATTTGGTGCTCTTCAAGCCTTCTTTTGTTTGTTCAAAAAAAACAAAAGAAAAAAGAAAGGAAGCCTTTGTTTGAGAATAGTCAAATTAGTCAAAAATAAATATATTTTTATTTTTTAAATACAGATTATTTTGTAGTGGAAAATACACAAAAAAGGAGCTTTAAACTAATTAGCTTCTATATCTAATAAAATTTTTATTGTAGTTAATAATAAAACAACATTAATGAAATTTATTTAAGGGGAAATTTCACTGTAGGACCGCAGAAGGCAAATAATTTCAAAGAGTCCCCAAAACTTTCTGAAACCTCACTGCAGGACCAAGGGACCAATCTGATATTAATTTTTAGAGTGAGATTACAATAATACCCCTCCCTTTTTATTTTATTAAAAAATAAATATTTACCTGAGTTACTGTTCCGGCCACCGGAGGTCGGAGGTCCGGCCACCGGTGCTCAGGTGGCCGCCGTCGGGGTCCGGTCACCGGTGGCCGGAACAGTAACTCCGGCGGGACTTCCGGTGGCCGGAGTTTTTTTGTTTAAAACAAAGTGGCCAAGGGAGGGTTTGAACCCAGGACCCCTTGGCACACCAAAAGAGTTGTAACCACCAAGCCAAGCAACCCATTCAATCATAAAATGCAAATAAAACTACATATAACAAAATAAACGCAACAGTCCAAATGTAAGTGAACAAGTGAAATTAGACGATTTACAAGTGGAATTCAGAAATTTGCAACAAAAGTTAGGCAATTTACAAATAACATAATAGAAGTCATAACCCAAAATGCAAGTGTTTAGGTGCAAATGAGCAAGTAAAATTTGAAGATTTACAATAAAAGTTTATGGATTTACAACCCAAATTTGGCAAACACAAGAGAATTCACAACCTAAAATGTAAGTGTTTAAGTGTAAGTGAACAAGTGAAATTAGACTATTTACAAGTGTAATTCAGCAATTTACAACAAAAATTAGACAATTTACAAATAACATAATAGAAGTCATAACCCCAAATGCAAGTGTTTAAGTGCAAATGATCAAGTGAAATTTGAAGATTTACAATAAAAGTTTATGGATTTACAACCCAAATTTGACAAACACAAGAGAATTCACAACCCAAAATGTAAGTGTTTAAGTGTAAGTGAACAAGTGAAATTAGACTATTTACAAGTGTAATTCAGCAATTTACAACAAAAATTAGACAATTTACAAATAACATAATAGAAGTCATAACCCCAAATGCAAGTGTTTAAGTGCAAATGAGCAAGTGAAATTTGAAGATTTACAATAAAAGTTTATGGATTTACAACCCAAATTTGACAAACACAAGAGAATTCACAACCCAAAATGTAAGTGTTTAAGTGTAAGTGAACAAGTGAAATTAGACTATTTACAAGTGTAATTCAGCAATTTACAACAAAAATTAGACAATTTACAAATAACATAATAGAAGTCATAACCCCAAATGCAAGTGTTTAAGTGCAAATGAGCAAGTGAAATTTGAAGATTTACAATAAAATTTTATGAATTTACAACCCAAATTTGGTAAACACAAGAGAATTCACAACCCAAAATGTAAGTGTTTGAGTGTAAGTGAACAAGTGAAATTAGACGATTTACAAGTGGAATTTAGAAATTTACAACAAAAATTAGGTAATTTACAAATAACATAATAGAAGTCATAACCCCAAATGCAAGTGTTTAAGTGCAAATGAGCAAGTGAAATTTGAAGATTTATAATAAAATTTTATGAATTTACAACCCAAATTTGGTAAACACAAGAGAATTCACAACCCAAAATGTAATTGTTTGAATGTAAGTGAACAAGTGAAATTAGACGATTTACAAGTGGAATTTAGAAATTTACAACAAAAATTAGGCAATTTACAAATAACATAATAGAAGTCATAACCCCAAATGCAAGTGTTTAAGTGCAAATGAGTAAGTGAAATTGTCGAATTTCACTTGCAAATCTATAAACTTTTGTTGTAAATCTTCAAATTTTATTTGCTCATTTACACTTAAACACTTGTATTTGGGATTATGAGTTCCATTATGTTATTTGTAAATTGCCTAATTTTTATTGTAAATTGCTGAATTCCACTTGTAAATCATCTAATTTCACTTGTTTACTTACACTCAAACACTTACATTTTGGGTTGTGAATTCTCTTGTGTTTACCAAATTTGGGTTGTAAATCCATAAACTTTTATTGTAAATCTTCAAATTTTACTTGCTCATTTGCACTTAAACACTTGCATTTTGAGTTATGACTTCTATTATGTTATTTGTAAATTGCCTAACTTTTGTTGCAAATTTCTGAATTCCACTTGTAAATCGTCTAATTTCACTTGTTCACTTACATTTGGACTGTTGCGTTTATTTTGTTATATGTAGTTTTATTTGCATTTTATGATTGAATGGATTGCTTGGCTTGGTGGTTATAAGTCTTTTGGTGTGCCAAGGGGTCCTGGGTTCAAACCCTCCCTTGGCTA